AATTGAACAAAGTGCATGAAGTAGGCGGTTTGCGTCAGTTTAAACTGAAACATTGGGCAAAGCGCATTTTATATTTCCCTCTCTACGTTCTCTATGCCATAAAAATCAGCGTGTCGCAAGTAAATTTTCTCATTTCAAGGCATCATCCACTAATTTAAGTCTCCTATAGTTTATTGGTAAAATTTATTGCTGATCTTAGTGTTAATTCTATGTACGAAATCGAAATTAAACAAAGCATTCCTTACCAAGGCGACGCCCATAGACCTCGACCCTCATGGAGATGTGCCTATGCCATGTGTATGGCACCACACGGAGGTAACGGGCTCGGAGACGACGTGCAAATCGGTGCCGCACTATGGTGTTCCTGTCGCGGTTACCAGTCAAGAGCTGTGAAAAAATTTGAAGTTTTAGAGTTACAGGAAACTATTGTAAACAAGTTCTCATCTCGCCAAGCAAGTAACAATCCAACAGTAGTATCCTAAAAAACTCACCAAAGTTCTACGACGCACTTGGTACCACCTCCAGCGGACGCCATCAGAACTGTACATGACTTTGTATGTCTTCACCCACTGTCCTAGATCCTGTCTTCCTTGAGTGGCCATGCCGTACAAAAAGGCTTTGCTTCCGACATCAATCTGCAGCCACTGGGCACGGTTGTTAGCACGTGACGACCACGCCCCTCTGTGCCTGCCTCGTCTCTGAGCGTTCAGTCTGCAGCGGTGAGGTCCGTGGTACGCGTCCCACCGTGAGGAGGAACTCAGGGCACTGTCTGGGATGCGACGATCCTCTACTCCCAATGGTAGTCTCTTTGTAACTGAAATATTAGAAAACAGTTTCATTGTATATGGTAGTAAAGGTCAAGTCTGCATACGAGCCAAGTGGCCCATCAGGCCAGCGCTTATGCCGGTTTCTGTAGCATGAAGCAACTAGCAGTAGTTCTACTCCTCCCTGGATGGGATGCTATTCCATCGCATGGTAACTCCCAGCATTAAGTTCGCCAGTACCCATTTATACACCTGGGTGGAGAGAGGCGCTGTGAGAGTAAAGTCCTGCCTAAGAACACGACACAATGTTCCTGGTCAGGACTCGAACCAGGACGGCTCGATACGGAGACGAGCGCACTAACCATGAGGCCACCGGGCCTCTACATTGTACAAACTAGCAGAAGTAATCTCGGGCGGAACGCTAAAGTACTGAACTAACAAAGGTCTACTAGATTTATACTTTTGTTTAGTAGTAAATTTGCAAGTGAACTAAACATTCATCGAGTGGCTTGGTTCCAAAGTGTTTTGAACATCGTTCATACCTGCATTGCGACCATACAGCTCAATTCTCATAGAGATATGTCCCCGCCAACTGACAGGCCTGACACGAATTGATGACGCTCGTATGGCGGGTTGTAGGTAATGACGGACAATTGAGTTTCTGTTAGTATTGGCACGGAATGTCTGCAAATATACAAAGAAAAATCTGTTATTTGATATACATTAATAACGAGTTTAGGGTAAGTAAATTTATCACAGTCGTAAGCCGTATGAGAATAGACAGTGCTGCATGTCTCTAGTTGCCGGCGCTTGAAGGAGCTACAGTACGTCACGGTTTGCGCTTGTTGAAACGTTAAGCGTAAATTTTTCAAGCTCGTCGTTTGTAATCCGTGTTAATCTTCTCCATGCTTAACCATCCTTCTTCCTTTATGGTTTATTATATCTCTATGGTGCTTTTTTATTTTAGTAAACTGTTATTTTCAGGTTTCCCTCAATATAAACGTAACTTTGTACTAGGCCAAAATAACTCAAAATATCGTGACTGAGCTCCTTTAACTCCAGATTTTGAGCATGAAGCGGCTAGGAGTATTTCTGCTCCCACCTGGAATGGGATACTTGTTCATCGCAGGGTCCCCCCCCCCCCCCCCCCCCCCTTTCAGCATTTTGCAAAAGCACTGTGTCTGAGAGCCCATTAAAGCCCAAAATCTTCGAAGGCGTTTAATGTCCGGCTCAATATGGATGTGCAATGGCGGAAGCATGTCTAACGTTAAACGTGCCTCGGATTTTTTGTGGGCAAACGCCGCTGGAAATCTCAACAAACCTTAGTGACTCCCAGCTGTTTGTAGTACACATAGTGAGTCTTGTCCATGCTGAACGTGAGGCGGTATTTTGTCACCCACTGGTTCATGTCTTCTCTTCCTTGGGAGGCAATGGCCACAATTTTCTTGGGTCTCTTGAAACACACTTCTAACCATTGGAAGCGGTCGTTGATTCGCGACGACCACGCTCCTCTGTAGCTGTTAGATGAAGATATGAAAGTTATTGTAAGGTAGAGGAAAATAACAGCGTTTGCTTTATTTTCAGGTTCAAGACTCTCTTTCGTAATTCATCTCAATCTTCCCCAATCTTCCCCATCCTTGCTTCTTTTTGGTTTGTTTTTACCTCTGATATTTTTCAACCGTAGTAAATTGTTAATTTGAACTTTTCTTCGATTGGAAGGAATTTTGTTCCCACAAGAGATAACTGAACACTTAATTGCGACATAACTTTTTGACTACCCATTAACAAAAGCTGCACCATTTTTACCACCTTAAGTTTTACCTTACGACTAAAGTGTCGTCAAGGGTATGTATAAAATAGTCATACTAGTAATGGCTTTGCTGATTTAAAAAAATAAATAAATAAATAAAAAAGAATGATGTTTGTACCCGGCTTGTCGCTTGACGTTCAGCCTCGCCCGCCAAGCTGCGTGGTATTTGTCCCAAATAGACGAAGCTCTGACAGCATGGTTTCTTATACGACCGTTCTCCATTCCAAGAGCTCGGAGTCGAGGTTTAATGATTCCTTAGAAAGAGATTGCAAGGGCAACACCATAAGAAATGCCAAGAAAAACAAATTTTTGTCAGTAGTGTAAGTATAAGTATTGCAAGTGGCGTAAGTAGTCGTGTTGTATTGTAAGTAGTGCAAGTAATAGTAAGTACTAGAAAAGAAATGCGAAGATATAGTTAAGAGAATTAACTGAATTGTGGGGAAACTGCGATAACTCCGAAATGCCTTGAACAGACTACGCTAATCAAAAAGAATTAGAAACCAGGAATAACAACAAAAAAGAAACTTACATTTGCCTCCAATTTTAACGCGGAGCCTTTCAAGGATGTGCAACGAAAGCTCAAAATTGCTCACATACAGTTTGCATCACAAAGATATTGTGGTAACATATCCAATCCCAAAATTAACTTGACAATATACTACCATGAAAATCACTTGACCAATTCAAATGCGCACTCAGTTACAACAATCGGTGAAGGATTGTGAAGTGTAATTTTGACAGCAAATTTAACCCCGTAAACCCAGACAATATAGCTCTCAGCAAAACACTAATGACGTACCTGGTCGGCGTCCATAGAATCCAACTCTCATAGAGATATGTCCGTACCATGACACCACAACGATTCTGATGTACCTGGCGCGGATGGGAGGACGCAGTGGATTCGTGACGATACTGTTCCTATCACTGTTTCCACGGAATATCTGACAAAAAGAGAGCGTTTATCAACTTCGACTGGATGTGCCACAACAAAAAAATCTCAGTGACATGACAAGCAAGGCGTTTGCTGTGAGTTACAAAATAAATGCTATGCATAAACAAGAACCTTGACCAATATTCACGGAGTCATGAAAATCAAAATTTAAAGTTGTAAAACACTCCAAAATGGGTCAGATATGTTTGCTAGTGAAAAAAACCTCAACAGTATTTTGATGCAAATATTCGAGCTTCCCATTTAGATTGTAGTGAGTCAGTGAACGTTCTCGTTCGAAGGAATCATCGTTTTAACACCTTATTCCATAAAAACAGTGAATAAGAAAAGACAAAACTGTTTACAGAAAGATAAGGAACTGTAACGTTAGATAATGTTGTTACAATCTTCCGAAAGGCTGCTGCTTTTTCAGTCTCATTTTACTGCTAGTAATGGCGCCCTCTGTACAGTGAACAGGATTTTCCTCGCGTCGGTTCGCCGATCTTTACGCTTTATTCCTAACGAAAACTTACTAAAACCTCCAGACCACGCCCCAGGGTGAACGCTGTATAAGTTTCCACTGTGTCTGCAGACTCACCTTAACTCGCCCGCCTTTCTTATAAGGTATAAACCGAACTCCGTCATTTCCAAACAACAGCTTATAACTGGTGACCCACTGGTTTGCATCCTGTCGTCCCTGTGTTCTTATCGCTGTTATCAGAGTCGGGCTTCCGAAGTTGAACTGTAAGAACTGACGCCTGTCATTCTTCTTTGCTGACCAGGCTCCCTTATTTCGGCCTCGGGCTTGGTTATTCAGTCGTCCGAGCCAGGGGGCATGGTAACGATTGTATGTAGAGGAGGCAGTGACGTAACTGTTTGGAATCTTGCCGTCTTCGACTCCGATTGGCACAGAATTACGAGCTGATAAAAAAAGTTGGAAAAGAATTTTAAGACTCTCTTGGTTCACTGTTTTAGAATTGAAACAACTTGGGCAACTCACTCAAGTTACTGAAATTACCTTTATCTGTAAGTAAAGTTCTTATCAAATTTTGTTTTTTTTTAAAAAATTTAAAATTTAAATTTTGTCATGTTGGGTGTCTAACAGAGATGTCTGCTAGCAGGTACTTACAGATTTTCCTGACGTAGAACTCAGCTCTCATAGATATGTGTCCAACCCATGTCCACGGGTGAATACGTACATATCGGGCCCGGAATGGAGGGATAAATAAGTTCTCCTTCAGTGTGTTCCGGTCTTTGTTTCCAGGGAAAATCTGAAACAAGGCAAAAACACGAACAAAATTGTTACTATGGGTAGATACTACACTGCAAGACATTATTCAGTTACTGAATGAAGTGGTGCGTCATAGCTAGAGCTATTAAGAGCTAAGTTCGCATTCACAATCCTAAAAGAGGGAATTAAGCACACAACTAAATGGCCTATTGATCTCGCGCACGATTGTCGTATACTAAAACAGAAGTAATCATACCATGTCATTGGCAAAAGAAACGCATTAATAAGCAAAAACACACCACACCAAGTTTATAAGGAAAAAAAATACAAACGGAGCACAATCCTTTTAATCCCTTACCTTGACTCTTCCGTATTTCTTGTACTGTATCCACCGATATTTATCCTGACTGTACGAAATAATAAAGCTTGTGACCCACTGTTTGGCATCATATCTTCCCTGTGTAACCACTTTAACAACCTTCCTAGGCTTTTTAAGATCAAACTGGAGATACTGGCGGCGATTGTTCTTCCTCGCTGACCAGCCTCCACGGTATCGTCCTGTGACTCGCTGATGCAATCTGGCTCGCCAGGGAGCGTGGTGTTTGTCCCATGAGCTGGAAGCCGTAATGTAGCGTGCGCCGCGCCTTCCGGTTGGAATGCCACTTGGTCGTACGGGAGCCTCACGGACTAGAGTGAATCAAAATCAAGAGCGCTTTAATTTTTTTGCCGCGGTTTTTAGTTCTTTGCGTCCAACAAAATTATCTTTCCTTTGTATGTTCGCAATATCGCGGAGAAATGAGCTTTTACATCCGATAGCGTCTTGAAAAAGTCCAACATCCAAATGGGTGAAGTCGCAAAGTTGTCTTAATTTGATAATCAACCTTCTCCTGATCTCTCATAAGCAACAACTTTTCTGACAAGCTCAAGACAAGAACTAATTTGTGTAGTCAAACTTAAATCTAGCTTACTGTTGTCTTGTACGACATGAAAAGTGAATTTTTGAAAAATGCTTAAATACTCTACAACAAACGCAGCCTTAAGAAATTGATATATGCTGAAAGGTTTATGAGATTTTTGCATGATATGAGGTATAAACGTCGCATGTAACAACACTGTATTGTCTTAGTAAGTCGTAAGACATGAAAATTGAATTCTACTCACCAAGAAGATATCCATAAAGCTCGACTCTCATAGAAATATGAGCACGCCAACTTACTGGATGGAACTTGACAAATCGAGCAACGACGGGGCGTCGGAAAAAGTGCTTTACGACAGTGTTTCTATCCTTATTGCCACGGAAAAGCTATGAAAAAATAAAAGCAGACATAGATAAGAATAGGTTTGCAAGACAAAACTATCTCCCTTTTTTGATTTTTGTGAACAATGTTAACGCCCTTCGCAATAGTTCGCTTTTTCTTCGTTGTAAATCAGCTATCCCAAGAGCTAAGCTAAGAATCGCGCATCTTATTCTTCATTTTTCTCGTTAGAAATCCGTCTTTCCAATCTTTTCCAAACTAAACCACGGGGAAGGCGAAACGTTAAGGCCCTTCCGATGTTTATTCCTGTAATTACATTCATAAATAAACTTACCTTGTTCCATTTTAGTTTACTACTAACTCTTCGAAAATGGTCTATTGTGGATTTGAAAATGACTTTTCAATGCGTATTGAAAGAGACTACGTTGGAACTCTTGACTCCTGTAACAGTTCAGCACAGTAGTAGAGAGCACTGTAAACACACCTTAGGTCTTCTCCTCTCGGTATAATAGCGGAAATAGATTCCACCTTTGCTGTATGATATTCTAAGACTTGTCACCCACTGGCTGTAATCCTGCCGGCCCTGAACAGCGAAGCCAACAACACGAGCTAGCTTAGTGATGTCAACCAGCAGCCATTGCGCGCGATTGTTAGAGCGGGCGCACCACGCCCCTGTCAACCTTCCCCGTCGGGGGATGTTCAGACGTGCACGCTTAGGACCATGGTTTCTGTTCCAGCTGGATGAAGCACTGAATCCTCCATCCGGGATACGGCGGTCCTCGACTCCAAGAGCCAAACGAGAAGGCACTGGTAATGGACAGAGAATGCACGTTGGTCAGAAAAATACGTCCGCAATGCGTACGCATTTCCTATTTTGAGCTCGTGTACAAACATTAAAGTACACGACTAACAGTAATCACAGAGTACAGAAGAACAATGTTCATACTTTCATGTTCAGGTGCTGAGAAAAACAGTCTTACCAAATTAATAAGGAACATTTTCCAAGCTGAAAATCAGTAATGCTTTTTAAAGTTTAAAGACCTGAACTTTTACTTGAGTAAATCGCAAATTTTTGGTTAAGGTGGCCGAACACAGTTTTCGCGCGCGCTTTCGTTGATGCAATTCAGCGCGCGCACAAGGATTGCAAAACACAAACATGCCGCCAATAGAGCGATCATTTTATTTACTCAACACCCGCAGTATATGTGCTATTTTTCTCTATAATTGAACGCAGTGTATTGATGGCTTTAGTCTTTTATCCCAAATATATGTTAGAATAGGTAAAGATGCAAAGAACTCAGCAATTCTCAGCTAAATGCAGCGCATGCGTAGTAAGTCAAAAAATTGCGATTGAATGAAAATTTGCACTCTTGGAAATACGCCTATTTCTCGAGAACCACTCATTAGAATTTCACGAAATTTGGCACGAAAATACTTTAGGAAATAAAAAACCGGAGTATTGAAAATAATTGAACTTTAACAAGGGAAACTCTAGATATTGAAGTAAACCTTCAACAAGGGATAATTAAAGATTTCTCTGTTAAATTATTAGCAAAATGGTGTTAACTTGTGAGAATCGTTACAAGCATGTTGCATGCAAATTATAAAGAAAATCTAATGACTAGATTTTCTACAAATAAACAAAACCAATTTTAAAGGCCCGTTTATTTTTATTCGTGTTGCCATGGCAACGGCACATACGTCAGCTTAACCATCAGAAAACCAAAGTTTGTGTCGTTAACCTGCTTGCTGCCATTTTTGACGACCGAGAGATCAAGGGTTTTAGAGAAAAAGGTGAATGAAACACAAGTATCAAAAACTGTGTTCAGCCACCTTAAGGTACATGCCTTAAAATACCTGTACTTCGAACACCAAATTAAACAACGAAAGCTCTATAATGGTCTCTTTTCTCTATAACTGAGCAACGCTTAAACATTGCCATAGGACTAAAGAGTAAAGAACAACAACAAACACGGTACACAAAGCCTGTTAGACTTTATTAAGTAACGTACCAGTAGCTCTTCCATAGAATTCTACTCTCATGGAGATGTGATTAACCCATCTGACGGGGTGAACACGGATAACTCGCGCCTTTATTTTGGGCCTCAATAAGTGCATTACAACTGTGTTTCTGTCTCTGTTTCCTCTGAAATACTGAACATAGAGGCAAAGGCAGTGAGAACAGAGCATGATGAGGGACCGCAGTAAAAATCATTACATTTACAACGAAGAATTTCCGAAAGGAACACCTCTAGACCTCAAAGAAATTTTTCTCAACGAATTGTCAGCAAAATAAGCAAAATAAGAAGCGAGAGGGAGTCAAAGTAAATAACAAAATTCTCTACTTTTATAGGCCCCTACGGTTTTGGTATGATCGCAATTATTAAAGATCAAAATATGTCGAATCCAAACGTCAGTCCTTAAGCTACTCTAAAAAGTGTGTTACGACTTCTTCGCTAACGCAGCACAAATTTCTTTACAGACTAATTTTCAACTATGTTTTTACCTTCGTTCTGCCATTCTTCCTGTATTTAGCAAAGTAAGTACCGTCCACACTGAATGACAGATAGTACAGAGTCACCCATTGGTTGTAGTCGTTTCTTCCTTGGGTTGCCACGGCAACTATTTTCTTAGCGCCTCTGAAGTCCACCTGCAGGTATTGCCCGCGGTTGTTTTTCTTTGCGCACCAGGCCCCGGCGTACCGTCCTCGTCTCGGTCGTTTAAGCCTGCCTAGCCAAGCAGCGTGGTATCTGTCCCATCGTGATGAGGCTGTGATAGCTCTGTTGGGTATGCGACCGTTTTGTAGTCCAAGAGGTTTAGGAGCCGCTCGCCTGACACCTAAGATAACAACATGAAAATTAGAGAACACATTGTCGAGCAACCTGTCATTTGAAGTTCAGGAGTCACACGAAAATAAGTAGAGTTAATTTTTAAGCTGAGAATTCTTTTAACAGGTTAGCCAATTACAACCCTTCTCCAAAACCTAAACGAGCTAGCTCCAGAATTCTCTGGGGCTAGAAGCAATGCTCAAGTCGCCAGTATCTTGGACACAACAGGAGGTGGAAGGAGGAATGAAAGAACTCCCCCTCTCTCAAACCCGCAAGTACTTTTCATCGATAGCTTATTCCACAATCAAGGTGATCAACTCACAGAATAAGAGTAGGGCCTCCAGACGAGAAAATCGGGTCATTGCAAAGCCAGCACAACCTACTAGTATCTCTTTTACATGTTATTTCACGCCAATGTTCATTGAAACTTTAAGGAGCGGAACTGTAAAACCATATTGGAACATAACTCCTTACCAGCTCTCTGTCCGTAGAGCCCAATCCTCATGGAGATATGTCCGTACCACGTGATTGGATGGAACCTGACATATTTCGTGAAGAGAGGTCTTTGAAGTCTGTGAGACACCTGGCTATTACGGTCCCTATTTCCTGGGAATACCTACAATAAAAGAACAAAGGGAGAGATGGGAAGGTTAACTACGCTTCTGCAACAGACTCCTCCCCGCCGGATTGCGTCGCTCAGCGACTCGTTCTTCGCTTGCCTGTTTGACTTAAAGGTGAGTCTACGGGAAGGCTAATTATTTCAACTGCTGAATATTGTTTCTAGCCTTATTTGACGTTTACCCTTCTTTCTCTCTATTTTCTCATGATTTAATCTTCTAATCTCTGCCACTTTTAATCGTCGTTGTGATATCTTAGGGATATGTCAAGAACACACACCAGTTCTCAAGTCAAACGTTTCTCACCAGTTTATGGTTGACTTTGTGCATCTTGCAGGGCCAAGGTACAAATTTGACAAATCTACTCAAATTTCTGTTTGAAAACTACGTGATAGGAATGTCTCTTAAATATTTGCTCTTTAGGCTTTCAATCACCTAGTGCTTAAAAAAACACCAAATGGTTCAGTGAAGTTTTAACTCTACGTTGGAAAGGTTCAACAGGAAAATTCACCTAACTCAGATAACTCAGATAGTGAGTAGCGTAGCCAATAACAGAACTATATTCGTGATAGAACGCTACTAGATTTATACTAAACTGAAATAGTCACCTTCATTCGGCCGTTTTCTCTGTACGGACGGAACGTGCGTCCATTCAAGCTATACGATATGCTGTAACTTGTCACCCATTGGTTGGCATCCTGTCGACCTTGCGTCACCACACCGGTAATTCTTGTTTTGTGACCCAGTTTGACCTGTATCCACTGTCGCTTGTTGTTCTTCCTAGCAGACCAGGCTCCTCGGTGGCGTTTATTCGCCACAGTGTTGAGTCTCGCCCTATCGGCGCGATGGTACCTGTCCCACTTACTGGAGGCCGTAAACGCCCTGTTTGGAATCTTGCCATCTTCTAAACCAACTTCCACGCTGTATTTAGCTGTTGGAAAGTAGCGCAGTGAAAATATTAAGTACACTTTCAATTTAGCAGCCCTACCCTAAAGGAGAATCCTCATTTTACGAAACATCGATTTTTCGCAACGCTCGATTATTCGAAACAAATTTTTGTCCCCTTGGCAAAACAGTTAGGAACAATTTACCCTCGATGTTACGTACCTCCAGCTTTCTCGAATCAATTTCCGATCCTCTAGACGGTTCGAAAAAGCGGAATTACAAAGAAAACAACAAATACTTACGTAAGGTGTTTCCATAGAATTCAGCTCTCAATGACATATGTCCCACCCAAGCAATGGGATAAATTCGTACATATCGTGCCTTGATTGGTGGATCGAAAACGTTAGACTTGACTGTGTGTTGGTCTTTGTTTCCAGGGAAGACCTGAGGGTGGAAGTTAATAAACACAATTTAGTTTTATTATTCTCTTCGGATATCTCATTTAGACAATAGACGATTGGTGATAGATCTCTCCTTTGACATTGG